GCAGAATGGGAAACCTGAAAAATCACGAGTGTAAATCCTTGAGAGGAAGATTCAGGAGAATTTCTAAATCTCAGAAACATCCCAGGGAAACTGAGAGGGAGGGAGTGACGAGTGGAGGAGACCCATCAAGAGGGACCGAGGGAGAGGAAGAGAGGGAGGGTGAGAAATGGGGAGAGGAGAAAGGAAACAAGTCAAGGAGGGAGAGCCATAGAGTGGGAAGGGTTTTAGTTCAGTTTCTGTGCTGGGATAACATTCTAAGAGCGACTTGAGGTAGGAAGCGTTCACCTGGCTTACATGTCCTGGTCACAGTCCATCACTTAGGGAAGCTAAGGAAGGGATTCAAGCAGTGGAGGAACCTGGAGGCAGGAACTGAAGCAGAGCCCATGGGGAATGATGCCTCCCAGTTTGTTGTCCATGGCTCGCTCAGCTTGCTTTTTTATACAACCCAGGACCACTTGTTCAGGGATGGCAGCACCACTGTGGGCTGGGCATGCCTACATATATCATTCATCAAGAATATTCCTCCACCTCCCCATGCCCACACACCAATCTGATGGAGTCAAATCCCTAATTGATGTTTCCTCATTCAGGTAACACTAATTTGTGTCAGGTGACAAAGATCAACCAGCACAGAGGGAGATGGGAAAAAATGGAGTGTGGGGGAAAGGCTAGTAGAATCCAGAGCCAAACACATCTGTATATTCCAGGACAAACCAACACAATACTACGGAGAGGTTCTGGAGAAACCTCTGCAGAGCACCTGCATGAGGGATGGGTGCATAGCAGGGGTATTGAAAGTACCTGCATGGGGATGGGTGTGCAGTGGGGGTGTCAGGAGCACCTGCATGGGGAATGGGTGTGCAGCGAAGGTGTCAGGAGCACCTGCATGGGGAATGGGTGTGCAGTGAAGGTGTCGGGAGCACCTGCATGGGGAATGGGTGCACAGCAGGGGTGTCCGGAGCACCTGCATGGGGAATGGGTGTGCAGCGAAGGTGTCAGGAGCACCTGCATGGGGAATGGGTGTGCAGTGAAGGTGTCGGGAGCACCTGCATGGGGAATGGGTGCACAGCAGGGGTGTCCGGAGCACCTGCATGGGGAATGGGTGTGCAGCGAAGGTGTCAGGAGCACCTGCATGGGGAATGGGTGCACAGCAGGGGTGTTGGGAGCACCTGCATGGGGAATGGGTGTGCAGCGAAGGTGTCGGGAGCACCTGCACGGGGAATGGGTGTGCAGCGAAGGTGTCGGGAGCACCTGCACAGGGAATGGGTGCACAGCAGGGGTGTCGGGAGCACCTGCATGGGGAATGGGTGTGCAGCGAAGGTGTCGGGAGCACCTGCACGGGGAATGGGTGTGCAGCAGGGGTGTTGGGAGCACCTGCATGGGGAATGGGTGTGCAGCGAAGGTGTCGGGAGCACCTGCACGGGGAATGGGTGTGCAGCGAAGGTGTCGGGAGCACCTGCACAGGGAATGGGTGCACAGCAGGGGTGTCGGGAGCACCTGCATGGGGAATGGGTGTGTAGCGAAGGTGTCAGGAGCACCTGCACGGGGAATGGGTGTGCAGCAGGGGTGTTGGGAGCACCTGCATGGGGAATGGGTGTGCAGCGAAGGTGTCGGGAGCACCTGCACGGGGAATGGGTGTGCAGCGAAGGTGTCGGGAGCACCTGCACAGGGAATGGGTGCACAGCAGGGGTGTCGGGAGCACCTGCATGGGGAATGGGTGTGCAGCGAAGGTGTCAGGAGCACCTGCATGGGGAATGGGTGCACAGCAGGGGTGTTGGGAGCACCTGCATGGGGAATGGGTGTGCAGCGAAGGTGTCGGGAGCACCTGCATGGGGAATGGGTGTGCAGCGAAGGTGTCGGGAGCACCTGCACAGGGAATGGGTGCACAGCAGGGGTGTCGGGAGCACCTGCATGGGGAATGGGTGTGCAGCGAAGGTGTCGGGAGCACCTGCACGGGGAATGGGTGTGCAGCGAAGGTGTCGGGAGCACCTGCACAGGGAATGGGTGCACAGCAGGGGTGTCCGGAGCACCTGCACGGGGAATGGGTGCACAGCAGGCAGCACAGATAGAACAAAGTGCGCTGATAGACAGAGGAGTAAAGAACTCTCTCCCTATAAGCAAGGAGCATCAGGGTGGGAACCGTGTAAAAGCTCAGGACCAGAAGACAGATCTGCCAAGAGGGAGTGGTGGAAAGAAAACTGTTAAATGTCTTTAGAAACTTTGTAAAAAGACAAGTCTTTGGAGTCCTATGAAATATATGCACAAACACACAAACTTGTACACACATATATATACCACACATAACAAAAACAAAGAAAAAAGGGTAGTAATATAGTTCAATGTTAGAACACTTGTCTAACACACATAAAATCTGGTCAATCCTCAGGATTGCAAATGAGTAAAAACAAAACACAAAAAACTACCAAGTTCCTCAAATTTAGATACGTATTTAAGTCTTAGAAATATGCCCATAGTGATGGCAATGCATTCATTACTAAAAGTTAAGACTAAGCCAGGGGTGGTGGCACATCTTTAATCCCAGCACTCAGGAGGCAGAGGCAGGCGAATCTGTGAATTTGAGGCCAGCTGGTCTACAAAGCAAGTTCCAGGACAGCCAGGGCTACACAGAGAAATCCTGTCTTGAAAACCAAAAACAAACAAAAAAGACAAGTTCCTACTGCACAGACATCGACCCAGTTTCCATGATAATACCAATTCTTCTCAAGACTGGCAAGACTGGGGTTCTTCAGAGTAGGGGTGTTCTTACCTTACCCTGCATCTTGAAAATCTAGCAGAACCAATGCCTGGCTCATCTTTGTCCACCCCCCCCCAAAAAAAAGGTGAACAAATGATATCATGTAGTAAAAGAGTTATGCCAGAGATATAAAAATGGTGTTAACACAGGAAGAGAGATGGCTGATGCAAGCAAGCAAGGCTAAGTGTCTTTAATCTAAAAATAAACTGCTGAAATTAAAAACATTAGACTACTGCCCTGATGTGGGATTCCGCTCTGTATGCAGTGAATATGTTTTATTACCATTGATGAATGAATAAAGCTCTTTCAGCCAGGCGGGAAATCTGAAAAGAGATATAGAAAGTAGGTGGAGTCAAAGAGATGCCATACAGCTGCAGAAGGAGACAGATGCCGGAATCTTATCCTGTCAGCCACAGCCTTGTGATGATACACAGAATAATAGAAATGGGATAATTTTAGATGTAAGAGTTAGTTAATAAGGAAATTTGAGCTAATAGGTCAGACAGTGTTGTAATTAACATAGTTTCTGTGTGATTATTTGGGTCTGAGCAAATGGTGCACCAATGTGTGGCAACTACATGCACATAAAACCTAAGAGTTTGGGAAGGAATTCTGGACACAAAATAACAGAGTTGAGCAAGGCTTCTTGGCAGCAGCATATTTTCAGATAGGTTCTGTTTGCTGGCAGCAAGGAGAGGCACAACTCCTTTAAGAGGGTTTCTGGCTCCGCTTTAGAGGCAAAAACTGCAGGGCTTCTTTAAGGGAAGGCTTCCTGGTTTGTGTTGGCAGCACAATGCTCTTTTGGGAGGTTCTGCACTTAAATGGGGTGTGTGAGCAGTGTGCTGCTAGCTGCTCAATGGTGATATAAACCCGCGACATCCCCAGAGCTGAGGTGGTCCAGAGCTGAGGTGGTGAGCATGGCTCGCAGAGCTGGTGGGGAACGTTCCTCCACCATGCTGGACTGGGCAGGCAGCCTTGGTCCTAGCCACACCTGCTTAGCATTAAAAAAAAAGAAAGGTGCTCCTGGTCATAAAATGCTTACAGATACGCAATAAAGACAGATTCAGACAGAAATAAATCTCTGAATGGGTATGTTCAAAAAATATACAAAGGCTTGGGAGAGAGAAGGAAAAGAGTACAGACGGTTATAAAAAATAAAGTTTTAAAAAACAAAGCAAAGTCTTTAAAGAGACAGTCAGATTAAAGGACTAAAGAAAATAAGTCGCATAAAGATGCAATATAAACAGAGAGTCTGGCATGTGTATATTATTGTGTTTTCTTTGAATTTTTTTGACTGCAGAGAGACATTTGATTCTGGGGACTGCTAAGTTAAACCAACTTCAAAGTTTGGGTCTAAGGATATGTTGCTTTGGAGAAGAGGTTCTGTTTTCGTTTACACAGCAAAAGAGAGGGTAAGCATCCATTTAGATATGATAGAATTTAAGAATAAACAAAAAATATGATGGCACCAACAGCATAAACACTAAGGATTTTAATCATATTCATTATGCTGAAAATGAAGGGTAACAGCTTTTATACACGCATGCACTTGTGTGTGAATGTGAGTACGTATGCGTTCATGCACACACCCAGTGAGTAGATGCATGTAGCAATTACAAAAATCAATACTGAAAGGCACTAAACCTGTCTCGAAACTACGTGAGTAATACGGCTATGATCTGAACCTCTATGTAGCCTATATTCACCTGTAAAATCCTAACTCCCTAGTGGCGGCATTAGGAGACTGAGCCATGGGGGTAGAGACCTCATGATGGGATTAGAGCTAACACCTGAGGACACAGTAAGACGATGCCCTCTAGAAAGTGGGAGGCAGCCCTGCAGGTTTGCTAGCATCTTGAGTGTGGACATAATAGCATCTAGAACTGCCAGAAAGAAACCTCAGAGATCTAAGTTATCCAGACTATGAAATTATATTAGAGTCTGAGAAAAAAAATGGCTGGGTCTGCCAAATCTACTCAGGTTTAAGTGCACCCCACTTCATCTCCACCATTCAAAGAAAACTTTATCCTTATACGAAGAATAGGATTTTTTTTTTAACATGTTAATGTCTGCCCTGCACTTAAAACATCCAAACTAAAGCCACACATCATGGCACCCTGTAATTCTAGTGTACTTCCTTTAAGCATTTTACCCTGTGCATACAGACAAGGGTGCTCTCAAAAATATTTTTACATTGTGAGTGGAAAACTCAAGTTTTAAAGAGCATGTGAAGCCTTCCCAACTCCACTTTCTTCAATAACAAATTTTATTAAAACAGCATTAAAAAAATCACAGGATAATTTTATTTATAAATGAATTCTATTTTCTCTAGACTTTAAATCATCAGTTCACTCTTATAACAGAGAAGCAATTTAAATAACACCACCAAAATGGAATGGGGACGAAACAGTGCGCTACTACACAGCGCGTGCTGCACGCTGGAAGGATTTCCAATCAGCCTTGCAACACGGTCCATTTCCAGTGAAATGCGCAGGACACTGCCAGCAAGCGTTTTCCTTCATACCGACTTCACTGAAACACGTCCTGGGTGCGGCTCTGGACTGTTTCGAAGCTGGTCAAGCTTGTGTTCTGCAGAGGCTCACGTCATAAACCTCTGCCGGCTCACACCACAACAGTCTTCAGATCCTTTGGTTTTTATCCCAATCCTTTGGAAAGTCAACTGATTAATGATTGCTCCTTTAGGATTCTATTTTAAGTAGGCTACCTCAGTGCCTAGACAGTCTGTGCCAACGTCCTTGACTTTTTCACATCCATGGCTTTGTTCATCAGATTGTACACTGATGGTAATCTTATTTTATCCATATTTTTGCTGTAAACATTGAGAAATATGCCAAGAACAACTAACAAGCCAGACCATACATACCTAAATGAAATGAAAAATTAGATATTAAAATTAACATGGTAACACTTCACTGTTAATTATGACATGTGGTAGTCAGTCCACAATAATTTCAATCAAATAAAAACTTGTTCTTAGCTGGGCAGTAGTGGTGCATGCCTTTAATCCCAGCATTTGGGAGGTAGAGGCAGGCAGATCTCAGTTTGAGGCCAGTCTGTTCTAAAGAGTTCTAGGACAGCCAGGGCTACACAGATAAACCCTGTTTCAAAACAAAACATAACAAAAACAAGAAAAAGCAAAATGAACAAATAAAAAATGAAACAAAACAAAAAAACCCAACCAAACACACAAAACTTGCTATTAGAGGTCTAAAATAGTATCAGAATCAAGTGTTAAATGGAACAGAGAGCGGCTCACAAAGCCTGCTCTGGTTTGCTTTCCACGACTATGTATGGTAAAGACCATGCCCACAGCAACTTGAGGAAGAAGGGTTTTCTTTGGCTTACACATCCTGAGTCCCATTCCACAGAGGGAAACCAAGGCAGGAGCACTCAAGGCAGTACTGTTGCAGACTGTCAAGGAACACTGTTTACCTGCTTGCTCCTCCTGGTTGGCACAGTTTGCTTTCTCACACACTCCAGGACCATCTGTCTGGGGATGGCACTGCCCAGGGAGTTAGCCCTCACACATCAATCATCAGTCAAGAAAATGCCCCACAGGCTTAACGACAGGCTAACTGGATGGAGCTATTTTCTCAATTTAATTCCCTCTGGTAAGCTGACTCTAGATTGTGTCCAGTTGACAAAAAAATATAAGCAGTCAAAAGTGCCACCCCTGGCTAAGGCATTGATAATTGAAGGATGCTGAGGGAGAGTGTCAGTTTTCTTCAGGATCTAGTTCCAGGTAGGTTGCCTGCGCTCCCATGATGGCCCTATACCCATGCATGTACTAGCAGCACCAAGTAGACTCAATGGTTAACAAAGAGGGCACATGAAGTTGGGACAGAAGTGGGGCTGGGGTGGGGTAGGAGATGGAGTTGATCAAAACACACTATTTACACAAAAATTAAAAAAAATTTATGCTGAATATATACATAAAAGTTACACAAAGTGAAACTAATTTAAACTTGAGGGCTCTTAATTAGCACATTCAAAGTAAAACCTTACCAGAAGACTTAAGATTATACTTTAAATGCCAGAGTCCTATTTATCAAAGGCTACATTATACATTCAACCCAGCACTCTGCCTAGTTGTCCCAGGGAAGTAGAACACAGACAATTTTAAAAAGGGACACATTCTGCACGAAGCAGAGAATCATCTTTTTGGGGGGGCGATTTCGAGACAAGGTTTCTCTGTGTAACAGTTTTGGCTGCCCTGAACTCAGCTCTGTAGACCAGGCCGGCCTCGAACTAACATACCCTCCTCTGCCTCCCGAGTGCTGGGATTAAAGGTGTGTGCCACTACCACCCAGCTTGGATCATCATAATTTAATTACTATAATATACTATCACAGGCATAAAGAACAGTAATCTATAGACAACAAATGACCTGTAGTACATTGGTAAAAATTTACAATATTATTTAAAATTATGTATTTTTAAACTAGGTTTGAAATCCCAATTATTGACCTATATTTTAACAAACTGCTTTTAAACAGAGATAGCAAAGACTGCTGACCACTTTCAAAAAGAGCCACACACTAAGTCATTAGGATACAATTTACAGAATACTTTTCCATTGTTTATTGTTGTGCAAAGCAGCCATAAATAAAGGCTTCACAGGAAAAAATTTTAAACATATAAATTATATATTTGTACGTGAGAAAGAAAATCCTTTACTTAACACACGCACACCACTGTACTCACCCAAATCAGATACATGCACCCACACACAGTCACACTGGAGTCCACACCTGCCCTCAGTCCTCACACTGGAGCACACACTCCTCACACTGGAGCACACACTCCTCACACTGGAGCACACACTCCTCACACTGGAGTACACACCTGCCCTCAGTCCTCACACTGGAGCACACACCTGCCCTCAGTCCTCACACTGGAGCACACACTCCTCACACTGGAGCACACACTCCTCACACTGGAGCACACACTCCTCACACTGGAGCACACACTCCTCAGTCCTCACACTGGAGCACACACTCCTCACAGTCACTGACATGGGCAGGCACACCTAACTGACAATCAGTCCGCATCCTAGATTCCTTTCTCACAGTCACACTGCAACAACTGAGCTTTGGCTAGGTGATTCAAAAGTTAGAAAGTAATGCTGTTTAAGACAAAACATGAGAGACGACATCTAAATTCTGAGACACTTGTTGAATTATAAGGTACTTACTGAAATGTGAATGGTTTAGCAAAGAATATGAATGAAAGGACTATGGTCATTGCTTTTCTTCCTGTTGTCACTGTGGGGGAAAAAGATTTAGATGTACCTTACTATCTTGGCAATATTTGTAAATTATTTATTCCACAAATATTTATAGCTCTGGATATGGCAGAACTTCTAAGGTGCCAGAGACAATGCAACTGACCAACCAACAGCCAACCAAGTTCTGTTGCTAATGGTTTCATAGAGGACTGGCACTGATCCAATTAACGTCTACGTACACCCGTGTTTAAGTATTCATCAGCTCCACGGGGTTCAGGAGCCACAACCAGAGGCTTTCCCATAAAGATATGATTAGGTAGAGCAAGGGCTACCCTTTAACACAGTGAGAGGTTCACTAATGTCAGGTTTCTGTGGTTTTCAGACAGGTCTTGCCATGTCTTGCTCATCCTGCTCCAGCCTCCAATGCAGTCACACACCTCATGATGGTTCACAGGATTTAGTTGGGGTGACCTCCGGGAAAGGGACAGCAATTCTGACAGTGCTGCTGCACATTTGTCTTCACACTTTGACCTCAGTGTAACTCAGCCCAGGCGAAGGGGCAGCCACACGTCTCCACTCAGGTCTCTACCCTCACGCAGCTTCTCTCATTCCACCCCTATTCTCCTGCACTTCACACTCAGCACAAGCCGGGGCTGATCTGCAACGACTGCCTTTGGGAGATCTACTCAGTTGGGCATATGTTCCTGTCTCCCCTACACTTAGGTGTGCTCATAAGTCTCAGGATCTGGCCAAAAAAAAAAAAAAAAAAAAAAAAAAAAGTGATCAATGTGTTGTTTCAAGGAGTACAGCATCTTGAGGAAGCTTCCACTAGAGGACACTATGGCTTTCATCTTCTCAGACTCCATCCTGCTGCCCAGCACACCGGAGGATGCGATGGTAGGAGGGTGCTGAGGACTACCCAGTCTCTCACCATGCCAACCAAGGAGGTGCAGTGAAGATGCAGGTGTGGAGACAGACAGCTTTGCCTGGAATCTTGATTCCAGCAAGCTGTCACCCAAGCCCTTAACTTTTCCACATTCATGTTTAAATCTGGGCATGGATTAGAAAAGTAACAGTGCATGGACTGCGGTGAGACTTCTGTCCGGAATGGGGACTCGTACACAGGAAGGACTCTGTGTTAGCTACAATTATGCCTACCTCCGCCTCTTATTTGACAGTGAAAGTATTTCTGCCTATACCGTGGAGGTGAATGTGCACTTGCAGCTCTCGAGAGCGATGCAGTACACAGTCATTGGTGCCCCTCACTGCTATGCATTTCCCAAACACATCAAACACAACCTGCAGTCCTCTCTAGTGTCAGGCACGGACACATCATCACTGTGGAAGCGAGAACGTGATCTGGGGCTGGTGCTAACAAACATCCCAGTGAAAGGCTTGCAAACTATAAAATGCACCTGCCATATTTTAAGTGCAAGAAAAGTGGAATTTCCGTAATCAATTAAAAGTATATGAAGGTAGTGTTTTCCCTGAAGGAGTTTCATTCCATCATAGTTTTACAGCAAATTTTTCTAATGTGCTTAACGTTTTTCATGAAAATGTATATATTTGACATAAAAATGAAGCCTTCAGGGCTGGGGTGCAGCCGAGTGGTAGAGTGCGTGCCCAGCATGCTGAGGGCTAAGGGTCTGGCCTCAGCACTGCACAAAGAAAAAAAATGCAATCTTCGAAATGAGAAATTAAGACCAAACATCATTTTCTTTGAAACTAAAAGACAAAACAAGCTACCATAGCACAAGCTGGAGAACAGTACTCCTTTTAAGCACGAGGTCATACCCTTGTGTTTGTAAGCACATGAGAAAACTGTAGTGTTTACTTCCTAATCTAAGCAAGTCTCCTACCTGTTACAGCAAGAAGAGCACCAAAGATTTTAATCAGGGCCAGAACGAAGGAGATGCCAAAGTATCCAGTGAGGGAAAAGAGGAAGGCGTAGCCATAGGTGCGAACAGGGTTCTGCAAGAAGAAAAATGACCTGTTAGGAAAACACAAAGCAAGCCCTGAGGTATCCTATGGTATCAAGCCACAGATCTGAATCAGCCTCTTGAGCAGTAATAAGTCATTCCACAATGCAGCCAAGCAAACAATATTTAGTTTTTATTTAATGGGAAAATATTGATGAAATGAAAAACCCTTGATTTGTATATTATGAACTTCTCAAAAATTAACTTACAGGGTAGAGAATGGATAAAAAATTAAGTATCAATCATTTCCTAGATCTTTCATTTCTGATCTGTAATGTTGCATTTGAAGAGTGACCAAATTATTTATTAACAATAGCTTTTTTTTGAACTAGGCAAAAATAGTACAGAGAAAATTATTAAGTGTAAAGTGTTTACTTTTAAAAATGCGATTAGTGTTTACCTTTGAACAAAATGCCACTGCAGGGCCTAGTCCACTCGTGCAGGACAATCCCAACAGAATGTACACAAAACCGATCGAGTACGAATACAGAACCTGGGGGAGGCAGAAGTAAAGCACAGAAATGACTGTCACACCAGAGGGGACACTGAAGGGTTTGAACACACGGACCAATTAATCTACTCAATACTACAAAACAAAACATTTTAAAAGTGATATTATCATTGCCCTATGGCTGAAGTTTCTAGAAATAGCTATGAATTAATACCAAATACAGATGTATATATATACATGCGCGCGCACACACATACACACACACACACACACACACAATTATGTAACAAAAATCCATGGCCATATGGAACCTTCCATTTATGTTCACATTTTACTCATTTCTGGATTGTTAAATTTAAGCAGACTTTAATTTTATTCTATAAGCATAAATATGACAAAATCCTTAGAGTTACTTACAAGATACGAAAAATGTCCTGGACACTGGAGCTTTCATAAGACAGGAAAATCACCACTCTAGTTTCCCCGCTCACTTTTACTGATTTATTAACTCCCCCAAGGGGACCTCCAGCTTCTAACTGAAATGCTTGCTACAGGTTAGCGATGCTACCCTGTATGTGGGCTACTCTCCTGACTCTCACAGCTAACCTAATCTTAATCCCATGCTTATCACCCAGTTTTCAACTGAAGCCTGAGGTTGTAATTTGGCCCAAAGGGGAGCTATGGAGTAACCTAGGATACAACTGAGGCTTCAGTTTAAAGCCTGCTGCCCTATGTGCTACCCTGAGTTTCCAGGTGACCTGCATGGTCTCACTTCTGAGGTCATCTTTACCTCAGCCATGAAGAGTAGTGAAACAAACACCTATCAAGATTCAGGATCCTGCTACTGAGAAGTCATTTAAGATGCCCCATGCTGTGCCCAGACAGTAATAGGAAACTTACTCCTGTATGTTTTCAATGCAGTGTGTTCTATGTGAATAACAAAGCAAGTGCTTGCAATGTCACACACACACACACACACACACACACACACACACACACACTCCTATATAAAAACAAAAGCAGAAGATTTTTAATCTGAAGAATACATTTTAATGAACATTTAAAAGGAACACCTGGAGAGATTGGAGAGAGCTCAGGAATTAAGAAGGTGGATTGCAAAGTTAGGTCCTCAGCACTCAAAATGAGTTGCTCACAACTGTAACTCCAGCTTCAGGGGAATCTTGACCTCTGATGGTATCTACACTTACTCATGCATACATACACACACTAATATTATACAATTAAAAATAAAACAAAAATATTTTAAAGAGATACTTGAATAAAAGGAAAGCCATACCTTAGTCTTAGACCGAAAGAATCAAGCATACAGAAGCCATGCCCCTAAACTAATTTATAATTCAATGCTAATGTCAGTCACAATCCCAGGAGGGGTTTCTGATTTATGTAAGGGTATGAGCACCCACAAGTAACCGCTGGTAGTTCTTTTGAAAAGGAACAAAGGTGGTTAGTCCTAACGATGAGAAATTCATGAAGCTGTTCAAGTTTCTGTGGGCTGAGGCAGAAATCAATACTAGAGAATTTGATTCTGACCCCTGTGTAAGGATGTGAGATAAAGAAGTCACAAGTGGGAAGGGTGGGGTGGTTCAGTAAACAGAACTGGGTTTTAGCAGGATTTATTTAATAAAAAATGGAAATAATAAAACTACTAGGCAATATGGGTGAAAATCTTGAGTTGGAAAGGCCTTTTGACACATAGCCAGAAGCCAACAATAAAAAGAGAAGTTGGACCAATAAGAACTATAAATTTCCACACTGAGAGCAACACAAAGAGAAATACAAACAGAAGGAAAACAATGTCACAAAGAAGCTTCTTTTAACAGATAAAAGATTACAGAAATCAACAAGAAAAATATTGATCAGTTATACAAGCTATTAGCAGTGCTGGGCTCTCCCAACCTTCCATGCTATTGCTAGCATTATGTTTCCGGGAACATACAGTGGACTGAAGTGCACATCGAGTCTCTGACACTGTAGCCACCTAATAACATCAGCCGTGCACCTTCCAGACAGGAGGGAAGCACTGGGGTGCTCACCATCTCAGAGTTGGAAGCATTGTGCAGCTTCATGGCTTTCTCCTGGACATTCCCGATAACAGCATCTGCACACAGTGCCAAGGAGATAAGCATCACACCTTTAGGGAGAAGACAATGATCCTCTTTAAGCATATCAATTATAAGCAAGGTTGGCCCGAAGTTTAACTGGGCTACAAATCAAAAGCCGACTGTCAATCCCATTTGGCTGGAATGCTGAATATTCTGATTTATAACTTGTTTTGTAAGCACATAGGTGATGATATTAATATAAAAAGACAGACACTAATAAACTAATGCTACCACCAGAATCTTACTTCAGCATCGTGCCAAATAAAGTCCACACTTTTCAGGCAGTGTCTCTTGAAAGTGCAGCTAAGACTCAGGATCTGGAGAAACAATGGAATGCCCAACGCTTTAGTTCCACACTGTCTCAGAGGCACCTAGAGCAATGCCTTTCTTGGCTTGCCAGCCAAACTGTCTTGGGAACTCTTCACACGAGCAAGCCTCCCTTTCATGTCCATGAGGATAATGTGGACAATATTAAGTTGTCACACGCTGCAGTGACAGGTTCAAAGGAATCGAGTCTAGGTGATAGCATTTTCTCCTGGGAAGCAGCATGCAGGTGTGCAGGAGGACAGGCCTGGCTACCTCTGAGCTTCACGTGCAGAGGAATGGCTGTCACAGTTCCATCTTTGGTTTTTTTGTGGGGGCTTGCAGGCTTTCTTGTCTCAACCTTCTTGATGCTGTAACCCTTTAATACAGGCCTCCATGTGGTGACTCTCAACCATAAAATTATTTCATTCCTATTTATAACTGTAATTTTGCTACTGTTATGAATCATATGCAAATATCCGATATGCAACAGGAAACACTGTATATCTGGGACTCCAAAACATAGAATGGTTGATTTCTTAAGGGTTAATTTTAAACAGGATGAGGATAGAGTGTGTAAAATGAAATAATACATAGCTGCCAATCACATGGGAGCATTGGTAACTTGACCACAGGTTAGGTCAAAGTCTTGCACAGTCAAGCTTCAAACAGCACGGAAAGTTGTTCCCACATCCTCTACCATCTCTCCCCCCACCAGCTCTCTATGAGCCAGTGTTCTCGCCATCTTATGGGAGAGCGTAAAAGGTCTGCAATTTACTCATTCTCGGCCTCATTTTTACACCATTTAAATTCACTGCAAATCTGAGCCTTCTAAACTTTGTTTTTATAGCTAGAAGAGTCGATGATGTCTGTTCTCAAGTATACACTTGATGTGACAGTCTATGATGGGAAAAATGAAGATTTCCTGATAATTCTTGATCCTAAAGGCAATAGCTGCGACCATAAGCATTGTGTGAAGTTAAGCAATGAGGTTTCCATGGAAGCTGAGGCAGCAAGTTCCCTCAGGACTGTGGCTGTGAGAGGGCTGTGAGAGGGCTGCCCCAGAGGCCCAATGGTTCTATTTCAACACACTAGCTCAGGCTGGTGAACTGGGGCCAGTTAGACTGACGGTCTGATTCTTGACAACAATTGTGAAGCTAATGTAACACATATGTTCATTATAGAAATGATTATCTTATACTTTGTGCTTGCTGGTTTTCCAATATTGCCTTTCCCCTGTTCTCTTACATATTTTCTTTCTTTTGTTTTTCTTATCTAGAAAATTTAAATGCTATTTTCGTCAAGAGGAATGTTGGGATGACACTGTGTTCTTGGTAAAATTCTTTTAGTAACTTAAGGAAGATAGTGTATATATAGTAAATACCCCCAAGTACCCCAAAATAATTTATCTCAATGGTTCTCATCATTTCTAATGTTGTGACCCTTTAAAAAATACAGTTCATGTTGTGGTGACCCCAACCATAAAATTATCTTCATTCCTACTTCATAACTGTAATTTTGCTGCTGTAAATCATAATGTAAATATCTGCTATGCGATCTCTGTCAAAGGGTCATTAGACCCTCCGAGGGGATCATGACTCACAGGTTGAGAACCTCTGATTCATCTGCATGGTCATGAGAATAAAAACATGAATCTAATGCTTATTCTTCTCCATGGACATATTCTAATACTTACCTGTCTTTTGAAAAATCTAAATTTAATTGACAAAAGGCATAGCCCACAATGGAGGAAACGCTAAGCCAGAGTTACAGCTCTATGCATATTTTCACTGTGACTTCCCCACACCTCCTGCATGTATGTGCAGGTCAGCATACACATGTCAACTCTCCTGTCTCCGACAGTGAAGGCTTTACCCGGGAGCCTCCTGTCAGGCCCTACAACAGTGTCACAGCCTAGAGCACTGCTACTTTTACTACAGGTGGGAAATTCACCGACCTCACAGCATCATTTAAAGTCCTCACGAAAACGTACAAATTCTTATTCAAAATAAAATGCTTATACAATTTAGGAATACAAACATACTCCTCACCTGTCAGATTGAAGTTTGGTGCAATTGTGCTGTCAGCCAGGGTAAACCAGATCAGGCCAAGGCTCATGCACACTGCAGCAGACACATCTGCAAGGTTGTAACGCTTTCCTGTGTAAGACAAAAGGACACCGGGCTCATTCTACAGATACTTACCTAGTCTATTGTCAGATCACAGCGCCCCACCACGCAGAATTGGGATGTGCCGTTCATGCCTAATGCCCAAACAGAAAACACTCACATCAAGGCACAGCAATCCCAGGTGAGTTAAGACTAAATCAAGCACTCCATGATCTTGTAAGACAGAACGAGATCTTATTTTATCTGACAGGAAGAAAAAAAACCAAAACATAAAACAAAACCACACACACGCACCAATTAATGGTGAGGATATGCCTTGAAAATGCACCCGAGGGGGATGCTGTTGTCTGACGTCATCAGACACGAAAACAGACTGAGATGGTTATGTCACTGGGCAACCTTATCTCATGGGATCAAATGCATACACAGTCTACTGGTGACCAAAGCCTCCTTACACAGTGTGTGGCTACATTTGGTGAGAAGTGACAGAAGTAAAAGGCATACTACCCAATTTTAACTATGTGGAGAGACGAGTTTGTCCTTTAGTCAATGTGTAATAACTACAAGGCTACAGATGTTCCTGCAGCTTGTCAGTTTACAGAGGGAAGAGGTCTGGCTTTGCTAAACACCGTTTCAGCTGATGAACACTATGTGAAGACAGTTAGGCAGGGGAGAATTCACCCATTTTCCTCTGCCTAATGTATTCTAACTTTTGGTAAAGATTCTAAGGAAATACATGTGCCTAGTAAGAATTTTTAAAAGAGACTGAGGTATTTTATTTCCATATGAACCACTATTCTGTTGTGTTCTGAGTGAGGTGCTGACACATTTTCATTGTAAAAGGTCAACCCAGGAAGGCATCTTGATGCACACACTGAGAGCAGGCTGCCCGAGCCCTTCATGATGGGAAGAGCCTCAAGACAGGGACTAAGCAACAACTTGCTCCAATGCTTGCTGTTCCAGCTGCCTCCTCTTTTCATCCAGCTCGACTCAGCTGCTCTAAACCATCAGAGCCAGTTCAGTCAGGGAAGAAGTGGGCCCACTCAGATGGGCTTCACTATGTGAATATGGGATGCATTAGTTCCAAGATAAAATAATAAAATAAAATAATGGCTTTTCTCTCATGTCCAAATTATGAATTCAAATACTACAGTATGTTAGAGAAATAGCAATATTTTTATGACACCCTATTTTTATAAGATGCTTTACTATCACAATGTCTAGAATGCTCAAAAACAGTGTTGTGGACATTTACTTTTTTCCTAATGCCAGATGCCACAACACAGCTGCACGCTTCAAACAGTACAAAACATGTCATTACTGTACCTTGAATAAAAACTCCTCCTAGCATAACAGGAATCAGTTTGCAGCACTTGAAGATGACTTGGGTGGGGTAATTCAGGTAGCCCAAGGAAGTGTTTGATAAGCCCATAGTACCCACAGTTAGAAAAGCTATTATCATGTAGGTTTTTCCTGGTATTCTGGAAGAGACAATTTTTAAAACCTTCATTGTGGGACCTGGTTTCATAGTACTTTAAAGATGATGGCTTACAATGTGCTTCTCTATTTCTGGTTAATGTTTCTGGAATATACATTAAAAATCATTTTTTTCATATTGTACCACTGTTTACTTGTACACTGACAAAAATCACAATATACTTTGCTAAATCATCAATGAGGTATCTCAACTGTGTGCATAACAGTAAGAGACTCACTGGGATTCTAGCTGATGTATAAATGCTGATCAAAGATTTTATTATAGTAGCTCGAGGTATAGACAACAACTATCTTGATTTAATGAATAAGTGAGAGATGATGAAAAAAATATGGGCCTCTACAACGGTAAAAAGGCCCTAATCACTAATGTTGTAAATTAACTTTTAAATTGCTTTAGTTTCCTAACTTTCCATCCAGAATTAGGAAAACTGTAACCACCAGAACAGTCAAAGACCTTTTCTAGAGAAAGCTCATGAGCTTCACAACTCCAGACACGATTATTACTATAGTGTTCTCTATTTTCCATGTTACAATAACCAGCTTCAGGTAATGTTTCTGATGCTGTCCTTGTAACCTCTAAACTTTTAATTCTGGCTCTACCAGGCTTGCCTGAAGATTTTGAATTTGGTATCTTTAGGAAGTCATTAGTATGGGCATATATCTGAGGAGTCAATAATGGTTTAAAGTAATAATGTGGCATACTGTATGATGGACACAAAAAAGCGTTAGTCACATAATTTGATTATGCTGTAAACTTAGATATAACCTACTTACATTTACGCATTTGTATTAGCATTTAAATCAGGCACAAAGGCATGCAATTCCTCTAACTTTTTTTTTTTTAAAGACAGGATCTTTGGCCCAGGCTGGCCTCAAATGCCATATGTAACTGAGGGACACCTTGAGCTTTCTGATCTACTACCTGAGTGCTGGGATGACTAGCATGTGCCACCAAGCCTGCTATAAGTGGTACTGGTGATGAACCCATGGCCTTAGGCATGCTAGGCAAAGACTCTACCAACTGAGCTACACCCCCAACGCTCTACATCTTTTATATGAGTAGATGTACACTAGTTTGTAGGGAAAATTCTACTGAAATGCATTATTTGACCTTTCAGTGTTGAGGTTTTTCCTACTTAAGTTCTAATGTAGGAGCCACCATTTAAAATCCACTGTCAAGAACGGGCATCCTTCAATTACTACCACTGTACTTCCTCGGTGTCCCTGGAGTCTGACCAGCTTAGTATAAAAACCAGTCACCATATATCTTCAAAGACAGCTGTAAACAACAGTGGCCAGAAAGGAAAAATTCCATTAATTAAACTTCTGAGGAATGGTCATGGAAGCAGGATACAGGCAGAGAGGAGCTTAGGGCCACAGCGGGCCAACCCCTAGAGGAACTTCCTACATGACCTTATAAAAATGTCAGCCCTCCTCCAGGTCCTGTTTCCTCATGGGTGATGAGGAAGCTGCATCTCATCAGCCTACCTCCTGGATTCCAGGTGTTTCTATTTAATTCCTCAACAACTTCTTCAATAATGGTGAGGAAAAGAAAGTCCTTCAATGCAAAATCGTATATTTCCTGTATGCCAAAGTCAGACAATGGCTAAAAAGTTATTTGGTGAGGGATGAGAGAACCATGTTTCGAGCATCAGAGCTGTGACGTTACTCCTGAAACACACTCCCAAGCAAGCCAGGAGTTCAGAGACTCCCCAAGTCTTGACAGAGTCTGAGAGAAGCAATGCCCGTTTAAACCCATCATCTTTAAACTCCTGTGCTTGTACTGACACATCATCACTTATGCAGACCCAGGCAGAGAAATCAACGAAGCAGAGTACAGGTCAAAGGCTGAAAGAAGTAACAACCGTCATGGGAATTCAGAAATCACGTACATTAAAGACAAAGAGCCCTGCGGCTGGATGAAGCTCTAAACATTGTGCCTCGTAAAGAAATGGTTTCAGTTCACAACTACTGATTTTAAGTCTAGAGACTTTCTATGTTTAAATCAAAAGCAAGTTATCTTACTTTCAAATGTTTTAGGGTGACAAGGCTAGAAAGCTGAGGTCGCCAGGCCCACACCACATCTCTTCTGGCTGGCTCACTACAGGAGCTGTGCCCTCAAGTCCACCCTGAAGCCGCGGTTTCCAAGAGATAATGGATCATCAGCCCCTCACTATTAGTCTTGGTAATGATAGTTACTTACTTTCTAGTCCATCACCCACATTTTATCATGGAATTTTAGAGCAGGAAAAAAACAATAAAGATGATATAGTACTTAACTATAATGGCTGCAAAAATTTACGAGCAACAGAATTTGGGAAATAAAATTAAATTTATAAAGAAAATTGTTAGATTCTTCCAGTAAAAATCTTGTGTAAATGGATCTGAATATTTAAAACTGAATAGTTACCTATGTATTGCTTCAAAACAATAATGTAGAAAAATAACAAGCTATGATTGTTGAGGCATTAAACATTTCTATAAAAGATGGAATGTCAGGATTGTCTTTATTATCTTTTAACTGTCCCACAGATACATGAATATATGCATCTTAGATGCAATAAAAGCATGAACATGCTTCATTTACCCCCAAATTTCACGCTCACATTCCTAACTACCTTCTGTTTATGGTCACAGTATTACTGTATTTTGTTTTATATGCCGTTAAAGATAAACCAAAGCATTTTTTCAAATCTACATGGTTACTAATTTAAAAGATTTTCAAATAAGCATTCTGGATTTAACAGAACGAAAGATGTTCCTCCAGTATTTAGGAAAACAGATTTCCAAACCAAGACAAGAATGTGGAAAACGGACTTGTAGGGAGAAGGGAAACTCCAGGCTGAGAAAGAGAGCTGGGCAGGTTGGAGAGAGTATGTATACACATGAGAAACTGCCGAAGAACAAATTGCCTCAATTAAAAGAACAGAAACCTTGGACTTTCAGGTAAGGCAGCAGCCTCAGAGTGACTTGGTGAAGAAACAGCCATATAAAAAGGATTCTATTTCAAAGTGATGGATACACCAATAGAAATGGAGCTAAGTCAAACAGCTAGGTTGTTTTCTGATGGGAATGGGGGTGGGGGTGGAGCAGAGGCTCATCCAAAGGGAAGTCAGTGCTGAGGAAGACACAGGCAGCTCCACCCTGGGGACATGGCCAGGAAGAGCCTCCAATTCAGTGGTAGGTTTTGGGAAGACTGATGTCTCAGGCAGATCGGTCAATGCTGAAGAGGAATCCTAAGGAGGGCAGTGGCTGGGAACTGACTGTTTAAAACTTAGCTATCTGGGGTGGGCTAAAACTAGGGAACAGCGACACGCCAGAGAGCCTGCTGGAGGACCTGAGAACTTTGAAGGCCCAGGAGGCTTCTTGGCAGCCACAGTTGCATCCCTCCATGAGGGCGAGGAACAGTCAAGCGGGCTACACAGCACAGAAGAAGATGCTTTGTCTGTACAGGTCTGTGCGGTGTGTGCCACACTTCTAACACACCTGCTAGCCCCCTCCAAGCAGAGTTCTAGTGACACCAGGGGATACTATCTAATGAGTCACAGGAGGTGAAGCCCACAACTGCAGAGATTCTGCTGTTCAATTGTTCCCTGTATTACTATATGCTGACTTTTATTACTTGTATCTTAATTGGATTTCAAGTTAAGTGCTCAAAATCAAGTCTCTAGATGGTAAACCTATGGTCAACGTTCTACTCAAAGTGCTCAAAATCAAGTCTCTAGATGGCAAACCTATGGTCAACGTTCTACTCACAGTGCTCAAAATCAAGTCTCTAGATGGTAAACCTATGGTCAACGTTCTACTCAAAGTGCTCAAAATCAAGTCTCTAGATGGTAAACCTATGGTCAACGTTCTACTCAAAGTGCTCAAAATCAAGTCTCTAGATGGCAAACCTATGGTCAACGTTCTACTCAAAGTGCTCAAAATCAAGTCTCTAGATGGCAAACCTATGGTCAACGTTCTACTCAAAGTGCTCAAAATCAAGGTGTCCTCAGATCACTCGCACACAGGCTGTAGCGCTTAATGTGTCCTCCGACTACTTGCAGACAGGCTGTGATGCTCAAGTTTTCTCTTCCTTCTTCCAGTAAAAGAGCATGCGTGTTAGAGCATAAAGAGAAAGAAATAAAAGGCATACAAATAGGAAAGAAAAAAGTCAAATCATCCACATTTGTATACAGAGTGATCCTATATTTAAAGAACATTATTTATCCTATATTTAAAGAACTCTAACTAAAGAGTCTTCTGATGAATATTGTATACCAAAACCAAGTTTACCAAGGAAGAAATGAAGAAAATCTCACTTATAATTATTTAAAACAAAAACACACAACTAACCGAGGAATAAACTTAAACAAGAATTCATGAAAGACTGTTCTAATGATACTTACAGACAATAAAGAAAACCTGAAGACATTGGATTGGCAGAATTAACATTGTGACGGCAGCTGTATTAGCAAAAGGGATCTACAGATTCAACACAATCTCATCATAATTCTAATGCATTTTTTTTTACACTACATGAGACACTCCTAAAAATCATTCATAAGCACTAAGGACCTCAAAGCACTCCTAATAGAAAGTACAATGCTGGGGGTATCACAGTGAATTGTACTATAGAGCCATATTGATAAAAGTATGACAGTGGAGCCCAACAGGCATAGACCAACAGACTAGAAGACGGAGAGGGAAACTCATACAGGCATGAAAACACACAATGGGAAAAGACAGCCCCTTTCAACAAACAGTGCTGGGAAACTGGACATTCATATAGAACCAGATCCATATCTCACCTTGCAAAAGAAAAAGAATTAAAAATAGATCAAAGACAGGACATAATGCTCTCAAACTATTAGGGGGAAAGTACTTCAAGCTACAGGTATGGGCAGTGACATCATGGAAGGTGCTCCAGAAGGGTGGAGGAACCCCAAGAACAGGCACACTGTATCACATAAAGTTAAAATCTGCTCAGCAAAGCAAACACCAGAGAGAAGACACGGCCTACAGAATGGGGCAAAAAAAAAAGTTTGTGCTAAGGCACACCAGGCAGGGGATTAAATTTAAAATGTATTACCCCTCCCAAATAAACACCATTAACACAAATCATGCAGTAAGAAATGGGCTAAGAAATCAAATACAGACTTCTCAAGAGTAAATGTGAATGGTCAGGAGATATTTGGAAACACGGGCAGCATCCTTAGCCATCAAGGGAACGCAAATTCAACCTGCTTTGAGATTCCACTTCAATCCAGTTATCATAAAGAAAACACATGGCAATTTGGAGGGGAGGAGGAGAAAGAGGAATGCTTATACCCTGCTGATGGAAATAAAAACTGGCGCCACCACTATAGAAAACAGTTATGGCCCAGTTATGGCCCTCCTCATCCACTGAAAGGATGACATGCCACAGAAGTACTGGTACATCCACGTCTACTGCTCTACTATTCTCAATAGCTAGCCCAGACATCTAACAACCTAGGAACAGCTGAAGAAAACAAGGTGTGTCTACAGAATGGAGCTTCATACTTGAAATTAGAAAGGGGACAATAGAGAAGAAGAGAGGGGAGGAGATGGACAGGGCAATCAAACACCTGTGACAAGAGAGCAGGTAAGGGGAAGAAAGTAGCAAGAGTGGGGCAGGTGTGACGTGGGGCGCAGTGTGGGAGGAGATGAACTAGAACATCCTACGATGACACATGTACATGAGAATGCCATAATGAAACCCTTACTATTAGCTCATTAAAAAAGAACGCAGATTTTAACCTCTAGACACTCAGTGACAATGTCAGGGGATAGAGCCCACAAAACACTAACACTTTAAAAACTATTAGACACTTGACACCGGCCTTTTGCTTAACACTTATTTCACTAGGCATGCCTCGGTCAGGTCATGAAAATGTACATCTGAACTCTCCGAGGGAGTGTGTCTAACCATGAACTGACCCATGTTCGGCTTGATTTTGTGACACTGTACTTAAAAGAGGGGGAATCTACTTTGTTCCAGTGCATAAAGGAATAGATGTATTATTTCAAGCAAGTAGTTTATATTGATTAAAACTCATGATCAGATGTTAGCAGGAAATGTAGAATCATACACAGTTGGCATGCTGGCCTTATTTTGTTTTCTTTCAGATTCAACCGATGCAGGTAAGCGCAGCACATACCTTCTCCTTTTGTCCTGAATGAGCTGAAGTTCTATGAGGCCAAATATGGAGTAAAATGCAAACTGTACTAAAGTAAGGTACCAGCCATAGGGCTTAAAGCCTTCCATTGAAAATATCAACTCCTGTAATAAGACAATGAATGTCATTAAATTCAAGGCAGAGACCAACTTTCCGCCAACTGTTAGGAGTAGATTTTAAAAGCAAGGAAGCCATACTCCATCCAATTCCACCTACTCCCACCAAATCACTAGACTTTTTATGACTTAGGCATGAAAATCAACAGAGAAGTAACTAAAATGCAATATCTTCTTATGCTTCTTCATTAAAGACATAAAAAAGACCAAAACTAAAGTTGTCCTTAACAAAGTGAGTGGCTAATTCCAGAATTCACACAAACAGCTTACTTCAGTAAAAGCCAGGCATCTACAAGCTGGTTTTCATCAGGAATATGGGTTATATTACAGCATTTTCAAAATTATGTGTCACAGATTAGATGAAAATCTTCCTTGTATAGGAGATGTTTAATTTCTCTAAACAGTGTGCGTTTCTGTCTCTCTCTCTTTTCTGCCTCCCTCTTTCCCTCTCTCCCTTCTTTTTTGAGACAGTGTCCCATGCAATCCAGGCTAATCCTGTTCAGCCTACAGTGGCACTGAACTCCTGATCTTCCTGTTTCTGTGTCCACAACACTAAGATTCTACGCATGGGTCACCATGTGTCATCCTGTTTATGTTGAGAAATGAACCCAGGTCTTAGTGGCTCCTAGGCAAACACTACCAAAGAGCTAAATTCCCAGCTCCTACATACAATATTATATTGTGAAGTAACATGTTCATTAATGACTACTCAGACATTTTAACAAGTCAACAAGAGTATTTACAAATGTTACCTAGTTTACTTTTAATTGAATGATCTGAACTTTGCATCCTGTGTGAGTAATGGGGATGCTTCACTACAGAGACTGCTTCTACCAAGACTAGTTAACCCTGCCTCCCTGTTCTGCTACATCTTAAAGTTAGCCTTGGACAGTTTGTTCCTTACTCTTAGTTCTTTTAAGAGGCTATTGTTCTATAAAAATCTCAAGCTCTGAGAAAACCGGTAGCCTGTAAATAAAAATATCATGGTAAAAACAAGTACTTAAAACCAACATGGACATTAAGTGCTAAAATAACTAACACTATTATAAACAAAGGACTACTTTTTACCTGTAAGTATCCATAAATTAGGTAAAATACAAAAACTCCAGCAACACATATGAAAAACTGTGTGAGCTTGTTAAACTTGCTGAGGTTCATGCCCAGCACCACAATGTCATCGACTGATTTGATGTGTGGTGACATTGTCTGGGTTTTGGAGGGCACAGTGATGGAGACATACTTCCTGGAGTTGTTGAACTTGAGGTCCATTGTTCTTGCTTTGCCACATTCAAGGTCTGCAACCTTGTCTTTGCTGGTTTCCAATGCTAGGTCCTGTCTTTCCTTTGCTGGCTGAACCTAGGGGAGGGAATAAGCAGTTATGGTAAATCACACAACCAATGAAGCTGTATCAGACTCAAATAATCTAACATCTACACTATACGATTTACAGACACATCTGAGTCTCTCTGAGTATCAGTGTTACCTCCCACATCCCAAACAAGCAAGTACAAGACTCTCACTCCCCAACCCTATCCATCACCGGGTAGCATCATATTCATCTCCATAGCAAGCAAAACTAGGACTACATATGGTAGTATGATTTTATCATCTAGTACATATCTAATTCTAATGAAATAAAATGAAATAAAAATATATTTTCAAATTATAGACAATACTGTAGTAGAATAAAGAAAAAGTGACGCTTAAGGGTTGACAACCATACAATCTATTTGCGAGGTAAGCTCTGAAACTAAAGCCAAACAGGTTAGCAACAGCATTCCTTAAACTGAAAGAAAAACCTGTCTGTCGCCCAGGCTGGCTAGGACGGGAAGTCTTAGTGGCTTGAACACTATGGTTACAAAGCATGGGCTACCAACCATGACTGAGAAGGCTTTCTTTCCCTGTGGAGAAAATGATCCAAATTTAAAGGCAGAAAAATGTGGGGTCTGTGTGTGTGTGTGTGTGTGTGTGTGTGTGTGTGTGTGTGCTGGCAGTGAAAAAAAATGTGAAGGCACCACTGACTACTGCTAGGTTTCTCTTTGCACTTACAAAAGGCAAAAATAATGAACTCCATGTAAGTAGTAAGGGAAGTGCAGAAATCATGGCAGCACACAGGATGGAAAGACTGTCTTCCTATACAGCCTCACGGCTGGTGCTCCAGCAAGAGAAAATCCGGACTCCAAGGGCAGGAGAGGACAATTTTGACAGGGGCTTCACTTAAAAATTACCATAAAAGAAACTGTCGTGCGAGCATTGGAAATGACAAGAACTAGAGTCCACTCTCGGTGACTGCTTCTAGCTAGCTGAGCTGAACGCATTAAAAGGAGACCTGGTTAGTCACACCAAGGGGCAAGGCACCGCAAACAATCACGACTATCGATATGTAGGCACCAACACATTTATTCTGCGGGACACCTGCCTTTTATGTCTACACTTTTATAAGCACTTTTATTGTCTGTGCTCCTTTTTCCTCATGCTTTTCTTCCTTATTCTGGCTTTCCTTGCTGTGTTGCAATCATCTCCGTAAGATTTTTTTTATGCCATGTTGTAGAACATCCTTGATATACAGTTTTCATAATAAGCATGTTTTAAATTGTCCTTCTCCAACTGTGCTGTGTTTCAGTACTGAGGAAACAATGTTCTGGCCTATATTCGATGGCAGGCACAGCAACAGCGCACAGGGCACCTTTAAATAAACAAAGGTTCTGAGCTCTCTTCCCTGATTTCTTTCAATAAAAGGCCCAACCATTCAGCCATTCCCAAGAAAAGAAGACTTCCAAATGCTTATGGTGTCCTTTCTGCTTGAGGTTTTTTCTTTAGGTCATATTTAGGCTCAGGGTTGGTGGCCCCCGTCTTTGTGACAGCTTTGTGTCTTGGTATCTGGCATGGATTTTTTTTTTTTATCTATATGCCTAGTAGACATGCCTTGAACTCCAGCTCACATCTATCTCAGTTGGATACATTTCTGAAAGGACCATGGTGTTGGCAAACTTGCTCAGCAAAACTGAAGTCTACAGCAGACAGAACCAGAAGGAGAGTGCAGATGATGATGTTATACTTAGGCACACAAACACACACACAGAACGAGTCTTACAAAATCAATTTCCTCCTCGTACTGACAGCAGAATATGTCTCCAGAAGGCAACTCTTTCCCGACATTGCCCTCTTCTGAAATGCTTATAGTTAAATGCCAGGCACACAGCACCAATTTAACTATAGCCAACAGAACAAGAAAGCAGTCCCATGGTTTGGAACTTGGGGATCTGAACTATAATGCTACCTGAGGAGACTAGGGCAAAGCAGTCTCTCTGAGCTTCAGGCTCTCCATCTCTACAGGGAAAAGTAAACTGTGCTGAGTAAAGACCTTTTGCAGAATCTATGAGATAACTGTGCAAGTGCACAGCGCACAGTGTGACAGCCCGTGCACGTTAGTTTTCATTGCCCAGCTTTTCAGAAACATTGCTGAAGCGGCCTGGTGTGCTGAAGCTGACTCACCTGCCAGGCAGCAGGAAGGAGGAAGCAGGGATCTGGATTTCCCACCTAGCCTGCTCTACAATAGTCTCTTCCATTGCCTACCTATTAAATGATACCAGAGCGCACTACAAAAATCTAAGCCACTGAGCTCAAGGGTTCTCGTGTTCTTGTAAACATGTGACCAATATTACTTTATTCCATTCTCTTCCACCACGTTATCACTCATACTCACTCCCCTGCAGCCTGACAAGCTCCAGCTCTAGAATGCACGTGCAGGTAAAAACCTTCAGCACCTTCAACAATACTTTTTTTTTTTAACTGTGCACAATACACTACTCATCTCTCCCGAATTTCCCAGGAAGCACTTATGATGAACAATGAAATGGATTCATGGTAATTACTTAAGTGATGCCTCACTGCCACAAAACCTGCCCTTTCAAAGCCTGGCATTCAGTGTGCAGTTTTACATGACTGACGAAGACCGCCATCACCCTCAAACTGTGATCCCTGATATCTGTACCTCACTTGTTCCTATATTAATAGCTGATATTGTTATCTAAAAAATCAGAGCCACAGAGCTAGGGCTGGAGAAGTGGCTCCGTGGTTAAGAATGTTTATTGTTCCTGCAGAGGGTTCCCAGAACCCATGTTAAGAGGCTTGCAATTGCCTTTAACTCTGCCTCCAGGAGGGAGTCAGACCCCTCTCCTGCATATATATACCCATTCATGCATACATGCACGTGTGCGCGCGCGCGCGCACACACACACACACACACACACACCTAAAAAGAACATGAGACAAAGTTCCCATTTAGTTCCCCTTATGTTGCAGGGGAAAAGACTAAACTACATAAGGAATCTGAAATCAGCCTGTCTCCAAAAAAAAAAAAAAAAAAAGGATTAAAAGTAATCAAACAATTAATACCTTGTTTTGCTTAAGAAATCTGAAATAACCTGACACTAAAACAGGAAGAAATCATTAAAATGGATTTCTGCCTTAAGTCTCTTCTTAAACCCAACAAACACTTAACTTTAGCACATGAAGGTAGAAATAACAGAGAAAACGGAATTAAAGAAAGGGTTTTCAGTTCTAAAAAAAAAAAAACCATCAGAAATAGGTGATGTTGACTAATAAAGACATACTAAAATAAAAATTATCTGAGATTATTTCTTTTTAAAAAAATCTGTGCATATATGCCACAGATCACAGGTGGGTTCAGAGGGCAACTTGGGGGAAACGGGTTATCTCCATTCACTTTGTGGGTTCTGGGGACCAGGCTTGTGGCAAGTGCGCTTATGTGTTGGGCCATCTCACTGGCCTCAGCTTAGCTCTTAATCGAGTTCTTTTTCTAACATGAAAGAAATAGAAACGTTATAGAAAGAAATAAATAGAAACGTTTTCTATTACAGAGAGGTGGCATGCGAAGGAAACCTATGGTGTACACGGCCTGGAACTTGTCACACTCGGGTGACATGCCTGTCTTCATGCCTCGGGTGCGCTCTGCATGAATGACAGTTTGTGGAATAAGATCATAAAGGAGAAAACAAGACTGATTTCATCTATACCTCATCACACAAAGTATGAGAGCATGGCGACTTCTGAAACTCTTTCCCCCTCAGGGACTAAAATCAGGATTTAGTCTATACATTGGGCACAAGTAATGCTATCTAAAATATTTCCAAGTGCTAGCAGTGTCTTTTCCCCCCCAAGTTTCAAACTATGGCAACTCATTTATAAGAAAAACATTAACTAAGTAGATTCTGATAATCTACTGTAGAAGAAATGCAGACATACTTTTTAAAAATATAGAAAAAAAAACCCAAACAAGTCTTGTTAGCATACCAACAAAAATTTTCAGTGTTTTTTTTTTTTCTTTTCTTTTCAAGAAGAGAAGTCAGTTGCAAGACGGAAAGAACACACAGGGCTTTCAGCGACATAAACTTAATAGCTCTGCAAGAACAGTTCCTTCGTGGCAAGACAAACAGGCGCGGGGTACCGGAGGACCGGACACAGACCCGGAAGTAGCTCTGAGCAGCAAAAAACGGTCTAGGGAATCCGGGAGACGGTCCAAACCCAGACAGCAGGTTAGGGGAGTCGGGGAGGCGGTCTCAAGCCAGGACCTGAGGATGCTCTTCCCGGAAGCGCTCGCCCCCGCTATCCCCAACAGGTCCGCGCGCGCCCGGGCCACCCCGACGGCAGCGTCCACTTTCTTGGCCGACACGGCGTGGACGCCCACCCCAGTCCTGCCTGACGGCACCTGGCGAGACCCCCTCCCAGCTCCGCCGCTGTCACCTCCTCCTCCGCCTCCGATCCTGCTCCCGGGCTGGCCACCGCGGCAGCCACCTTCCCGGAAGGTCTTCACACCGCCAGACCCAGCGCACCACTTCCGCCTAGGCGTCTTTGTGCGCAGGCGTAGGGGCGCGGCCCCGCCCCCTTTGCCAGCCTTCTTGGCCGCTACCCCGCGCGCATGCTCATTTCTCTGAGGCTGGGCCAAGCTCTTGCTTCTGCCCAGCTCGTCCACGACCCAGTTGACTTCACATCCGAGGCGGTGAGCTGATGCGTGTCAAGGAGGACATATTCAGAATGTTCGAACCGGAAACAGCCTGCTCCCTCTCCCCAGCCCTCGTCCTTTGATCCAAAGAAATGAGGTCGCTTCTCAACACCTACCCTGTTCCAGTCTCGGGACCCTTTCCTGCTCTCTGGCCAAAATGAAGAGAAGAAACGCTTAGGGAACCCAGCGTCTCATTATCTTTCAGTGCCCATGGTTTATAATTGGCCAGAAATGTTAGCAGGATTGTATTGAAGAGGCCACTCACTGTCTGCAACGTAAATCCCTACTTTGGGGTCTGACAGTTATCATCAATTACCCCTCACTACACCTACAGTTACTGAGATACAAAGAAAACACCCAGATGGGTTCGGTGACAAGGGTTATTATGATTACCGTAACTTATATAGTATTTGAGAGCCTGCTGTGCATAGGGAAAAAGGGTGAAGAGTGTCAACAGAAACGTTATAACCCAGTTATGAATAAGTTTTGAAATTTCACCAGAACTGTGCAGAGAGAAGCATTTGTGCCTTGATTGTGGTGGTGGTGGTGGTGGGAAGAGGGGAGGTCCAGTTAGACATTTTTTAAATGCCAGTCTTGTTAGGGCCAAGGTTACATGAATGTTGGAACTTTAAAAAAAAAAAATTTCCTAAAGAGAGTTACAAAGCCCATGCAGTGATGTCATTCTGTCCCTCAACAATAGCAAATTTTAGTAGTAAGTCACTATTGCTGGTAGCTACTGAAGCAACATGTTTATCAAGCATGTGTTGAGTGGGCATATGAGTAGGTTATAAGCATAATTTATAAGTAGAACTCCCCATCCTGGAGGAGTTATAGGGCACAGAGGAAAAGGTAAATGGTAACATAAACCTAGAATACAGAGATGTCAAGGTTCACCCACTTCTCCTGGGCAATCACAGTAACCTAACGGTATTCTCCACTTCCTTTCTATTTCTTTACATCCCATTTCTGCTCAGCAGTGGGAGTTAGCCTTTTAGGATCCTATGCGGTTGTAATGCGGTTGCACTCACAACCCTTTAATGACTTAAACCATCTCACTGAAACCCAACATGCTTCCCATGGCTTGCAACTTGCTATTGACGGGTCACATCCAGACACCATTTCAGAGTTCGTCTAGCCCCTGTCAAGCACAGTGTGCCTCACGCTTTGCCTTTCCTGTTCCTTTTGCATGGCACACCGCCCTCAGATCTGTCCACTGGGAACGAAAAGCAAGCATTGCCAGATGTCACCGTGGTGTTAGTGGTGATCCTAGTGATAGGACGGCAGGTGCCAGCAGCCCTGTTCACCAATAGGAGCAAGGTGAACGCAGTTATGAGCAACCACAGAACTAGAGCAGAAACCCTGTTACCACTGCCTGTGGACTCATGAAAAATGCATGTCCTTAATGTGAAGACAGCTGTGCAGGCTCAGCATGTTGATTGCTTTCATTAACCACAAAACAAACAGAAGAACCAAGGAACTACTTCCCTCCAAAATCACCTCATGCTCAAGCTCTTCCCTCGAGGGAGAAGCAGGTCCCTTGACTCTTGATGAAGAACACTTGTAATGCCAATACATCTGTGTGTGTTCAGCTCCCAAGGCGCTTGGAGTTATTTGCACAAGGACTTTTTCTGTGGAAAGCAAGTTACCGAGTCATGAAAGGCCATTTGACCTAGATGAGTTGGCACTGATGTTAAAGACTCAAGGTGGGAGGCCAAGTGGCAAAAGGCATTCTGGCCATAGTCTTGTCTCACAGGATGTCTGTGAGGTCTGTGGAATCCTTCAGGGCAAGAGTGATATTCACCCATTTAACAACAGAATCTCTGACCTTTGCTGACTGATGATGATAGGAAGGGGCAGGTGGGAACTCTTGAAATTATCTACTTCTTAGGATCCAAGGTAGGAAATCAGAGACTAATTTCACCTACAGAGAATTTGAGAGATTTCATTACTAGCCAGAGTTGAAAAATGTACAGAAAGGGTTCTCTCCTTCATGGCGAGGCTCTGAAATCAGTTGATAATTTTACTTAGGAATTTCAGAGGTCGTGTTGCCAACAAAGACTTTAAAAATATAGGGATGTTGACATGTATTGTTCTTAAAGCTACGATGTGCATTTGGTGGGATCTAGTAAACTTCTCCAAGCAATACCTCCAAGAACAACCGCTGTGGAAAATGTGAGGTTTTACTAGAATGCAAATTTTTATGTAGTTATTGAGCTGGCAGATGCCCCATCAGTAAAGTAGAACAAGATCAGTTGGCTCCTTCATGAAAATGACTGGCGTACCATGCACCGACTGTCTCTAGGCTTGTAAAAACTGTCCTGCTTCCAGCTATGATTCAATCCTGTATGAACTGTGATTGACATAAAGTGTTGAAGACTACCTTCTTCTCTAGTCTTGACATGCTAATTTGTTCTGGAGCTATGTGTCTGAGGAAGACATATATGTGAAGTAGGGTGGGAGACAAAACCCATTTGGCATCTGCCAATGTTGTGGAAATCTGATTTGGAGAGCATTTGTGACATATTCTTACTTTGTTTTTTGTTTTTTTTCCCTCAACTAATAGTTTTGGGCAGAATTGTGTGGGCAGCAGAGGTGGATAACAAAGGGACCAATGAAAAGAAGAATGCAATTCCAGAGCTCATTAGGGAGGTTTTTAACCCTTTGAAGTGGGTGTAATTTCTCAGGACTGGAGTTTCAAAGAATGGACTTCCTGTAAAGATCAATAGTTTGCCTTAAAGTAATTGATACCTCTTTTGAGATGAATATACTCTATTCATGTTCTCTGCCTGCCCTCCAGCCTTACAGTTTCCTGACAGATTGCCACTGACTGCAGAAAACACTCATGACAAGAAGATGACACGATGGGACTAAGGGATGCACTGGCTTTGCCATGTATTACCACCTGGAGGCCATTGGTCTTGTATAGCATTATGAGACCAGCATCACTCCTTCACCAGGACCAAAGACCCTGCAGGAGGGACATATCCCAGCAGGAGGGATATGTCATTGTCTGAGATAGTTACAGAACCAATAGTTTGTACTCCCCAATAGCTAGAATAGTTGGACTCTGAGATCCAAAACTCAAAAAAGGTATTGGTCTTTCTCATTGTGAATTCCAATGACTCAGTGTCAAAATTTATGTTTCCAATTTCTCTGCTAGATTAGAAGTTCTGGAAATAAACAAATCATGCTGCCCTACAAAGCACCTGGCCTGGATAGGTTAGAGGTCTCCAGACCCACCAGCTCCCGAGCACACTTTTTTCCTGTGAGCATCCCATCTGGACAAGTTAGACAACCCTGCTGTGGATTCTACTAACCTCTGCTCACCCCAGTTGGTCAGGTCAGAGTTCTCTGTTCTTCCTCTGCACAGTTTTATTGCCCTCCACCTACCTCAGGCAAGCAGGTTAAAAGACCATGGACTTTCCACCCCCCATACACACTTCTGTCACTCTGAGCTTGCCCTGACTGGAGAGATCAGAGTTTACCAACCCTATTGTCTTCTGTGCATTTCTGCCTCTCAGCATCCTCAAACTGGACATGCATGTTAGAGATTTCAGGGCCTCCGGCCCCAACCAGTTTCTTCCACCCTGTGCTTACCCCAGCTGGGGAAGCCGGAAGAAAGACACTTCCTCTCCTTCCACTGCACACCACTGCTGCTGTGCACATGCCTAACTGAGCAAGTGAAGAGACAAAACCCGCCCACAACTGTCTCATATGTGCCACACTCTTTGAGCTCCCTGGCTCATAAAGTTAGGGGAAGCATGATCCCCAGTCCCTACACATGTTCCTACAATGACTTGTGAATTGCACATCTTGAGGTCTGGGGATGCACCCCCCACTGTTGATTTTACCTAGGTGGTTCTATTTACCAATAAAGAATCAGAAGTCAGATGTTGGGATTTGATGTGTGATTTAAGTTTTAGTAATATTTCTTTTACATGTGTGGGTGCTCTTGTATTAGGGGCATAGATATTCAGGATTGAAACTTCATCTTGATGAATTGTTCCTGTTTGGAGTATCAAGTGTCCTCCATCTCTTTTGATTGATTTTAATTTGAAATCAATTTTGTTAGATATTAGGATAGCCACACCTGCTTGTTTCTTAGGACCATTTGATTGGAAAAGCTTTCCCAACCCTTTAGTCTGAGGTAGTGTCTGTCTTTGAGGTTGAGGTGTGTTTCTTGTAAACAGCAGAATGCTGGATCCTTTTTGCATATTCATTCTCTTAGCCTGTGTCTTTTTATGGGTGAATTGAACCCAATGATATTAAGCAATATTAATGACCAGCGGTTGTTAACTCCGGTTATTTTTCGGTAGCAGTGTTTGTATGTTTCCCTTCTTTGGGTTATGCTGGTAGGGTGTGATCAGATGTCTGTTGTGTTACGAGCAGCAGGGCTGCGTCCCTGGCACGCGGCCGCCCGCATGGCTAGCTTTACCTGAAATAATTACACGGAAACTGTATTCTTATAAACACTGCCTGACCCATTAGTTTCAGTTTCTTATTGGCTAGCTCTTACATATTGATCTAACCCATTTCTATTAATCTGTGTAGCCCACGAGCTGGCTTACCAGGAAAGATCTTAACCTGCGTCTGTTTGGAGTGGGAGAACCATGGCGACTCCCTGACTCAGCTTCTTTCTCCCAGCATTCCGTTCTGTTTACTCCGCCTACCTAAGGGTTGGCCTATCAAATGGGTCTAGGCAGTTTCTTTATTAATAAGAAATCACTCCCACATCATTTCCCCTTTTTCTGTTTAGACAAAAAAGAAAGGCTTTAACTTTAACATAGTAAAATTACATATAGCAAAACAGTTA